ATTTCGACCTCGCCTAGGTTTTATCGAAAACCCCAGCGGGAGTCGAACCATGAAAGTGCAGCGTGTAAGCGCGACACGAAAACCACTACACCACATTGCTTGAGTGCCCTTGGGTCACAGGACAGATGTGAATTTTAAGGAAAGCCAGACATTTTTCCATATCACATTCTTTTGTGGGATTATCGATGAAGCAAAGCTATCTTTGCTGTAACAATCGACTACATTACTTATTTTTGTTTATAAGCATAGTTTCGAGACGACCAGCTAATGACCCAAAGGCACTCGTGGCAATGTGGCCGAGTGGTTAACGCGCCAAGCTCCCATTCTACACTGTCACGGTTCGAATCCTGCTGGGAGTGTTGATAAGACCTATGCGAGGCTGAAACTGTAGTCCACCCTGGATGAGAGCGACTTTTGGGAAAGCAAGGCAATGTGAAATTCAATGGAAACTTCAGCTCTACTCATATCATTATGGGAAAATTCTACTACCAGTCCTGCATCACCTTAAACGAAATTAGGTGAATACATCTCATATTACTGATTTACTGATAGTCTAGAAACTCTACATAACTACGAAAAATAAATAAAATTAGCCCTACTCCACTTTTGAAACTTGACTGTGTCGTCAGGGCCATATCAAAGCCCTAATCCTACCCGGCAGCCTCTGCCTTATTAGTCATAGTAAGTTTCAATGTTGGACGAAAAATAAAGAAGACCGTCGATTTATTTGCTGAAATAAATGGCAGCATTAGCAAAAATTACGCTTATTGCTTATGCAAACTAAGATAAAACTAAGACTTAACATGTCCAGCAAAAGGGAGGCGTTAGATCAAGGATCCCACTTAAGGGAGAATGAAAAGGGTCGCAAGGAAAAGGCTCTCGAGGAACAATATAAAAGACAGGAGATGACGCTTTCAATATGCTGGGTACACAAAGTAATGGGGTATAGGAAAAGCATAACCAGTATAGAAATACAGCATTATGGCTGGAATAAAATGGCAAGTTCGACCAGAAATCCACTCCGGAGGTCTAATAACTAAGTTGTCACGAGTTAACTCATTTTTGAGAATCGCGAAGTAAGGACCTGAATATGAGATCTACCAACCCAGAAGAAATTCGGAACTAAGATTAATGGAAACTCAGATTTAAGCGTGTATCAACGACTAAAAAAGCTTACTACGAATATCTACCTTGATCCCAATAAGCCCACGTTCCGTCACCGGACCAAGATAGGTTCTCTGAGGTTGCAGTAAAAAAACGACCAGAATGAGAAAACGAGATCGGACTAATTACATGCAGCGGAAGAAGACGATGACCAAAATAGAGGCCACACAATACTTGCCTTTTAAGCTAAAATAAACTAAAATAGGTAAGAAGTCATTTGCGAAAATGAGGTAAACCCAATTATATACATCAAAAGGAGACTGCGACCAGTCCGAGGGCGACAGCATCTTGGTCTTCACATCTTGCATTAAAAACACACGAATATATTGTTTTAGACTACCTACTAACAAATATTATTTAGTAGTATATGGTATTCGATAATATATATATTTGAAGCTGGAGCTTTTTAAGGCAATATTGAGGATCTTTTAAAGCGATTAGTAATGATGTCAGTTTCCTGGGCGAAATGTTAACTTAAGAATAATTTACTTAATGTAGTAACTATTAATTGCTTATGTTAATGAAGCGCTAGGTAATCACCTTAACGCTTATATACTGTAAGAAGTCGGCCCAAATGAAGAGCTGCGGTGAGTGGAAGTTAAATACAACTGACAAATCGAGCATTCCGGTCACTATAGGGCATGAGGTGTTAACATGATATCCTTACACCCAGGCCAACCCTTTATTTCGGTATTTTAACAAATATTTGAACTATAACTATAAAAAAACACGAAAAAAAGATATATTTGCCATTACAATCCACGACATTTCGCATATTCCAAGTTTCTAAACTATCATTGATACGTAAATGAGGGTATACAAGTCTATTCACATAGAATATAATTAATATCGTAAATTGGAATAGCAACTATATGTTTGCTTTATCGAAAACCTCAGTACAAATTTAAATTGGTAGAGGCCTGCCTTTCTATGAAAGAAAATCTGCTCTGTGACCCAATAGCCACTTGGCTGAGTTCTTTTACCACACTATGCATTCAACCAGGCTTTGAGTTCGTTTGATGGTGCTAATGGGCTAGCGAGGCAAGAAAAAAACTGCCGTTCAGCCAGAATGAGAAAGTATTTTGA